AATGACAATATTTTTTTCGTTAATTGGAAGTTTTTAGTGTAAAAATCATAGGTGTTCGGTTTCACAGCGCTATGGACAAAGTGAATTTTTTAAAATGTTTTTAAAAGCATTGATTGTTCCTCTCAAACTTACTATCGAAAGTGCGCCGGCTGAATTTACCAGTATAGTTTTTGTACAATAATTTGAACATTAATGTTATTCTATGTTCTAAGAAACTCCATCCTGAGGAATTAAAAAGGCAAAAGGGCAAAAAAGCATAGACATTAAAAATTTTGTTCATTCTCCAGCTTAAATATTGTTTTTTTATGCAATGGTTGTAGTGAGTGGCAACTAATACATCGTTCAGCACTTGTGTTCTCAGCTGTAAAACGAGTAAGAGTAGCATCAATTTCAACAAATTGCAGTTGAAAAGTTGAGTAGGGCCACAGTGAGAGTACCTTTCTATAACATAGTAATGCTTGGGCATGAAATTGTCATTCTCATCCTGTCCCTTTCGGAGAGACGAGATTCAATTGTACTTTTTCATCGTCTGCCCTTTTGGTGACAGTTATCCACGTCGGTACCGCTGGAACTCAAAGATACGAACTATCATGAAGTATCATTAGAAGTTTCCCTTCTTTGATTATGAGTTACGACAAGTGTAGTCGAAATGTAGTCACGTTTCAAGGGAAACGTGAAAGGAAATTGTGGAAAAGGCGCTATTCAATCGCTTATAACTAGTTAACTATAACTGCTACTTTTGCAATTTTACCTTTGACGTCACTCTGTAATGGCTATTTCATTCCCGCCGGAAGTGGACTGCGAACTCCCTATTCATAGTTGTTGCAGATTACATGGAACTCCTCTATTGGGGTGTAGCGATCTATTGAATTCACTTATGTAAATTTTATTTGTGCGAGCTGATATTAATAACTTGACAGTTCACTTTACTTATTCAAGATTATTTATGTAAATCTATGCATTATATGTAGAGATATATTCGTTTTCATTTGTTTACCTCTTGGTCTCTTATGAGGTAAAACAAAATGAGGAAGAAACCGGTAATGATGATCTGTTCATGGCAGAATTTTTCGATTCCAGTAGTAAACGGGAACCTGTAGATATGAGCACCACCGTTTCGTTTTGACTTATAGCGGCTACTACTTTGAAACTGTAAATTTCAGAAATTTGGTTTTATCACGGTGGGACCTTTCTGCCTTTGTGATCCGAATACTGGCATTCACGCCTCTGAATCAATTGAATTTGCTCAGCTAGGAGGCTTATCAAGTTAAAAGGGAATGGGAAGCGGTTGCTCATCTCTACTCAATTACTATCTAAGTATTGTAAATTGTATTGCCTGCTCTGAACAGACGATGATAACTGCGTTGCTAGACATCTATCTGAGAAGATAGAAAAACAAAGTGCGCTGCTCTGCTCAGAATTCTGTGCACCCTCATATTGAATATAAGCTTTTTAATACCGTCAGGGCGGTAGGTGTCTCCTTGTTAATTACAGAATTAGATTATACAATTCATTAGGATGCATGTCCTGGGACGGTCTCAGCTGCCTTGAACTAACATCACCCTCTCCCTCCCTTAATATAGGCTTCATAACCCTCCAACCCAGTCTGGTCGACCATCAAGTTCTATATGCAACTTCAAAGGATCGCTAACGAAATACTCCATGGGTCCTGTGACGAAATCTTTCCAAACGTTGTGTATACAATTTGTGATCAATGTCATAGGTATGTATCAGGAAAAAAATCATTTGAGTACCAATCAACAAGTCTATTTTTCACTGGTTCGTTACCTAAGATAGTAGGTAAGGTTTCGGAGTAGTTACTGGATACTTCAGGAGCCTAAATGGAGCAAAATAAAGATTCAAACAAGATGCTTCCATGGATTTTTGATTCCTTGTCTTTCTGCCTTTTTTCTTTGCCTCTTCCCTTCCGTAGTCATTTACATTCAGCATGTTATCGAGCTAGATAAGCTCGATTCAAGCGGCAAGGAATAAACCAAACTGTTTGCTCTGATTTTCGGTTTCACTACATTACCATGTTGTCTACTCACTTCTTATTCCCGACGTCAAACTTACTTCATGCTAAATCTCATTCAAGGATCATATTCTTACTTGACAAATCCAATTTCTCCAGATAGGATTTTTCGAAAAATATTTTTGCGTTCATAGATGGTGACAACAACATCGTGGAATTCCCATCAGGAATTTATTAAACGACGTCGTAGGCTATTGAATCTGGGTAAATTCGTGGCAGGGGCCATATCCGATGGCGGGTGTCGACGATGAAGGCGACCGACGATGGCGCCGCCGACGACGACGACGACGATGGCGATGGCATCGTCAACGTTCCTAATGCCGTATTGTATGTGTCGATAGCGCTATAATATGGTGTTGTGAACATGAGGCGTTTGAATACGCGCAAATTAGCCTTCCACTAGTCGTCGTTACTCGAGCAATCCAAGTCCATCTTTCATAGACTGAATCACACCCCCGTTATTCCATCACATATCCATCTATCTACACGACCACCCAAAAAGATAATATTTTTAGGGGAATTTTTCGGAATTTAATCTTTGATCAAACCCACTACTCACTGGGAACTACATACCACCATCCGAAATGTGTTTCCTCGTTACTCATAAGCGACTAATTAGCGCGGGGGGGATTTTATCCTTTTCGTCTCATTATTTCACGTCGTCAGTGTATGTGCATTGACAAGGCCCACATGAGGCCATATCTGGATTATTCCACAATTTCTGACGATCTCACATTCTCTACCATTTCTTCTTCTTACACTTCTTCTTCTCCTCCTTCTTCTTCTACTTGTTTAGAGTATCAAGTATGACACTATGATATACAACTGCTACAAATCTATTACTTTCCATAATGATCTTCACAGGTAAGTCGGAAGTTTTTTGTTTTCAAAACGGAATCGATGATCCATCAATATATATATGAGGGCACGAGTTTACACGAGTTTACTTTGAAACCATTTAATCCAGTCACGAATTGCTGGCAAGGCATGTCTAGAAAAGCTTTTGCTTTGTGGGTTTTGAAGTCTGTTTGTTGATTTATGAGGTGTAGCCGCCTTCCATGATTGGTGTAACTGACAGTGTTTCGAATGTGACGAATACAAACGGGTGCCCATCCCTTGTGTTGTTCATCGTCGTCGGTCGGTCGGTCTGCTGCCCCATTGGTATGTCCATCCATTCCAGTTTTCTCATTCTTCCACTTTGTCACATTGCAAAGCCCATATTGTGCTGCACATATTCTTCGGATATTTCCCCTTCGTCCTCGTCCGTCTGTCTTGCTAGTTGGCTGGCCGTTGGCGTTCAACACATTGCAGCACAGCACACAACTTTTCGGAGCTGACTGAAAGGCGAAAAGTCAGCGGGGGGTCGTGTCGCAAGTATACCTGGTCTACAAAGACAACTTGGTGAGTGAGAGCTATTCTCAGAGGTTGTTATAGTTCTTCCGTATTTCCTCATCCTCCCCGTGAACGATGTGTATCCTGTTTAAGGTGAGTAAATCCACCGATAGCTTCGATGTTTCTTTATGTTGGCTCTATGAAGAATAGGTAAGTGGAAATCTCTGCTGTGTTCGTTGGTTCGATTCCTTCCTCGAGCGTCAATGCACGCATCGCTAGATAAAAGCATTTTCGTTAATGCCAAAGCTAACAGAATGATTGTTAGCGATGTGCAATGACGGGAGAAGCACTCGGCCTTACTACTCTCATTGTCGGTTAGGCACGTTCATTGAAGCCTGTAATCGGAACTGGAGCAGTGGTGTATTGTCGTCGCTGCTGCCAGCCCCGTGTACTCGCCTATCCGCCTTATCTCCTCCAGCTCTCCCACATTCACCTCTAACCATTTACTAATACCGTAACGATGCCTAAAAATTTACGCCAACCCGACGATGTGAGTACAGTAATAGTAATTAATGACTATACAGTTAGAGTATAACTAAACAGTATGACTGAACATAACTACATTTCCGACGCCTGTATTCGTCTCATGGGCCTTACGAGGAGTACGTGATTCTCTCATGCAAACGGATCCACTAGCAGCTGCATTGACACAAAGGCCTAACAAGTCACGACCACTACCGACAATTTCCAGGACACCTTTACTACTACAATTTACACCATTTGGACCACCAGTGGTGCCATCGTGTGGGTTTGTCATCTCATCTCATCATCAAATTCGTTTTCAATTAGCCCGTTATCTAATTTAGACCGACTCACATCGCCGAAACATGTTGATTTAATAAATTTGCAGTATGATGACTGGCTAGAATCGATTAAGTCCTAGGCTTAACAGCTTTGGGGAGGAATATGACGGGGGAAATATGTAGAAGAAATAACTCGACATAAATACTTAAACAAGTACTTTCAAGCTGTGTGGTTTGACCTTTGGATGTACTTGAATGCCTCCTCGAAGGCTCATCAATCAGTGTCAAGGCTTTCTCATTTGCAAATTTTTGAAGAACCATTTCTGTCTATAGTGCAGCTATGGCAGTTCATTTCAACGATTTCGTTTCCTTCAAATTTTTTTTTCTGTTCTGAGAAATCGCCTTCACTTCAATTGCTGACGACTTCACTAATGAGAAGAAGCTTTGTACTTGTGAATATTAGCAAAAATGAATTTCTATCGTTTTTTGGACAAGGAGCCCACAGGAATTCTCGGATTCCTGCACTTTGTGTCTATTCTTTAATTCCTTCTTAGTCCATCTGTGATCACTCCACTCTTGAGTAAGCCCAGCATGCTATTTCATGGATACTTCTAGGTATCAATCTCACATTACTTCATGGATACTTCTAGGTGTCAGTACCAGTATGTAGTGTAAGTTACAATATGCCCCTCACCTTGGTCACGTGATTTGTTGCACTTTTTTTTACACCTTTACACTTTTTCAAGGTAGAAACTTTGCCTCGACTGATGACCCGAGATTTCACCCCAAGCAACTTTCATCGTCTGAAGTTTCATTCGTACTATACAGTAGGAGCACACTTCCTTCTTCTCTTACCAAGAAATCACTGTTCCGCCTTTACTATTCCAAAGATTACTGAAGTTAAAACTATAATTTTTACTTTTTCAAAGTTTACAAAGTTTAAAGCATACCTTTCATTTGTTTTGACGTGATATTTTTGTCAGCTGCTGTTATTTCGCCAAGGTATGTGCCATACGAAAGTCTGAAATCAAAGTGTCGCCCATAACTTGCCAATCTTGTGATAACTTTTACTTTATAAAGTACACCAAACTTTGAGTAATGGCTTTTTTTTCTAAAAATATCATATCAGTACGTTTTGTTTAAGTTCTTATGTACTATTGTTGACCCAATGTTATGCTGTACGGATTTGGGGAAACGAGTTGACATCGAGAAAAACTCCCCCAACAAGTTGGACTATCGCCATCGTGTCCAGTGATTGGCGCATTTGTTCGAGTGCGGAGCTCAAATTCTGGGCCTGATACTCATTGCCATCCCCAAAAAGTTCCTCGTCCTTTTCTGACTTTCACGATTCCTATATATTTTTCGATTCTATGGCACGTCATTTTCACCAGTTCTGCATGTCTCAGTGCCATCAGCCACCCTCTGACATGGGTATCGCCCCCGTCAATTTGATCGCCTCGGATTTCGTCTTCGTTCGGATAATGCACATCTTGCTTAGTGGTTTCATGGCTGCTTCAATTGATTCTTAGCTGAAATTGTGTTTTTTTTTCGATAATTTCTCATACATAATAGCATCCGTCGGAGAAAATACTCATTTGTCATATCGTAACCTTTAATTAGATTTATGATCGAGTGAGTTTTTCTCGAGTTTTTGTCCAATTCTGTCTATTCTGACTGGCTCATTGGATGAGCTTATACCCCTATTTTTCAAAATTTACGACCATATCGATCAGCTAATTAATCCCGATAAAACCGACCGCTTTTGTTGGTTGGACGCGCATCCGCTCCGAAGCCCCCATAGTGCACACAAGTTTTCAGGGCTATATAAGGAGGTCTCTGTATCGATCCCCTATGACTCCCAAGTCACAATGCCCGAACTTGACATAACAAATGACTTGACAGCAGCTTTTCACTCGCGCAACACAGCCAGGCCTCCGTCCACATCTAATAACCAATAGCTAAAGAAGATCGCTACTGGTACATATAAAGAGTTTCGTCGCGAACGGCGCCATTGAAGGGTGCTTGACGCGCAATGCGTGTCCACGTCAACTACCGTAATGACCAATCGACAACGCGACAATCAATTATTTGGCACCGTAGTGCAACCGCTACAGTATTACGTTGGGGACGGTCGCACTGTAGCTCACGAAGAACCGTACAACCTTCCTACTTCAATTTCTGTTTACCAGTAAGATCCGAATAAAAAACTTTGGAAGATGGCAAAGAGGAAAATAGACACCCAAGCAAGCGCATCTGTCTGTTTAGTTTGCGAGTTTTTATGGGAATTTTTATGTGATTCTTTCGCCAACTTTATGCAATGATTTATGCGCACATATAAACATCGGCGGTCAGGTCTTTTATCCATCACCGCTGGCTGGAAATTTTATGTTCTCGAAAGCTTGAAATGATTTCTTTTCGTTAAACCTGATGGCACCGATATCCCCCCGCAATACATCCACATACCCATATTACTTACACATGTGTTACCATGCCGTGTTATATGATGGTCCGTGACCCGCAAATGCATTTCGTATCCCTAGAGATTGTTGCTGCACTGGCTATTTACATCATCGCCTCGAGAAACGAACGAACCACGGCGGCGCCGGAGACGCTACTCGCTCGAATCCGCGCGCCAGACTAGTTGCCCTTCGATTCAGGTCAAGAGTTTGGCTGTCATGTGTGTTGACACTGGATGGACGAGTCACATGACGCCCTTATTCGATTACTTTTTTTCTTACTTGGTCACCCCCAAACACAGTAATGATGTCATCGGTAGTGGGTGGTAGACCTCCTTGGAATTTCGCGCGTTTCGTTTCAATGGGCTAACATCACTCGTGCGATGAGCAGCTTGGAAATCGTCGCCGGGGGACCGACAACGAGTAGCAGCGCTAAGAAAAAAAATAAACGACTCATCTTTGCCGCTTCGACAACCCCAAACTGCTGTGACTACTTCTGGAAATCAGCTACCCTGCTACACTGATATTTTACCAGTTCCGGAAGCAACGCAACCTACGACACCGCCACTATGCTACAATCAGTGAGCGCACATCTGATGGACGAACGACGTCAGTCACGTCTCATCTTTGATGAACGCCGAGGTTCACGACGAGGAACTGTTGGAGATGCATTGGTAGCCTCACATCATCATACTCCACCACAATGGTGTGGTATAGGTGTTATCGAAGACTTTCAGCCATCTATCCCATTAACATTGGACAATACACTCAGCTGGGCAATACTGAGTACGCTACCGAAACGTGGAGCCGTATTGAAACCACGAAATCGTTGTGTAGGTACGGTATAACGATGTATTTCATAAACTGATTATTGCTTAACAGTATATGCGCTGTCTGTTGTTACTAATGGGCGTGGCAACAATCGTCCAAAAGAGGGACAAAATTGTTAGCCCCTGATGGCGTCTAATCGTCGTCCCACACTTTTAGCGCGACGATCTTCATCGAATTCAGCGTGTAGTGGTGGCGGTGGTGGCGGTTTAGTGCCGACGCCGCCGCCGCCGTCGGCATCAACCCCAGCAGCGCCTCGCGGACGGACATCTGTGCTGTAGCAACAGCGACAGAGCAGCACAGCAATGTCTAGAGAACCCCGTCCGTCTTTTGTCGTGTGTTTTTTTGTAGTCATGTCAATGCTCTTGTGTCGGAACACGCGTCCCACATGATCCGTTTTAGTCTCACATCATCACAGCAGTATGTCGGCAGCAAATCGGATCTCGTTCGACGCCAAGGTGTTTGTCGTTTGGCGTTTGCTTCTTGGCTAGCAAGCACGTAATTTGAGAACACGCTTCTCCGGTCTGCTCGAAACATTACGCGGCGACATCCTCGACATCCTCTCGACATCCCCTTAAATCATTGCTCTATCCCAACAATCCTTAGTCATCCTTCAGCCCAAGATTTCTCTCTGCCATTTCTTACCAGTACCATACGATGTGTGTATGTATTGTGAACCATGGCAAGTATGCCTATGTATACGTATGGATGTCTCGTCCCATGTGAGGGTCCGAGATCGTATAAATGTGGACGAGTGTATGTGTGTGTATGCATTAGCCGTCAGCAGTCATACAAATCCTCGCCGCAAACTTCCCTCAAATTGGCCCACGAAGGCATTTATTTATGTTTACACTCATGTGTTAGTGGTCAGTAGACGTCGAATTGTGTGTGGCGGCACGTGCCACACACAGACACACACTCTAACCCCACTAGCTTCCCGCGATTTTTGACACTTTTAACGCTAGCAGCCACTGCAGCGATATCAATTGAAAACGGTCATTTCTCAAGCGGGCGGCTGCTTCCGGCCACTGGCATGATGTCCGACGACGACGACGCGAATTTGCGTATGCTTTCAAAAGGGAAGTTCCATCCAGGTGGTGGCTATTGAGGTAGCCGCCTCAATGAATTGTCGTGCGCAGTGCGTCGTCGTCGTCGTCGTCGTCAAAACGTCGCTCCCCCGAAATGCTGCTGCTGCTGTCTGTTTCGCTAATCAGTGCAATGATATGCATCCTTCGCTACTCCTTTTGTTCATGAGAGGCCGGGCGGCGTCCGAGTTATTGGCTTGGCGTCGGCCCGAAAGCCTCCACCCTCCTCACCCTCAACTTTTTTATGCTCTTCAACCTAATAACCCATATGACGGACTCCGAACGTCTTCGATATGCTCCTGCTGCTGCTGTATGTATGAAATATGAGTGTGAGTGTGTGCGTATGTATGCAGTGTTCAGCTAAAATTCATCGTCCTGTCACTCCACTCACATATCCGCCTATATCTGTCTGTCTTGGTCCGTTCTAAAACGTCTAAGGTTTCCAGTGCTGGCGTCCTTAGGCGCCGCTCTAAGCTGGCGGTATGTTCCTGCGCAAGTTTTGGAACCAATGGACGCTCGAGGAGAATGCACGTCGTATGACGATTACCGTGCTTCCCTCTGGTACGAAGAAAGTCCATCTGAGATCTCCCAGCGAACTTGCCGAACTATGCCCGGAGAAAACTCAAGATACAGGTAATCAATCGATCCTATGTATATCAATAATCATTATTTCCTCTCAACTTTTTCTTGCGCACTTTACTCTATTTACTACTTAGTATTGTGGACTTTATGGACTTTTAAAAGGTTAGACGTTACTGGACTCTTTTCATGTCTTAGAGGCTTCATCCGAGGAAACCCGGAACCTCGTCCATCACCTTACTAAATAGCCTCTCCAATCGATTATACCAAATCTAATTTCCTGAGATTTTTGCTGCTGAATCTCTGGCATCAAACATCTAACCAGTATAAGTGGTCTTACTAGTAAATATAAGTATATACGATTTCTGATGCATTATTATTCCTTGTTTTCAATAATGCCAGTTCTGATATTTTCATTCAAAGGGTGGCCGCCTATTGTGCATTGTAGTGCTAAGTGTGTAGACGAATGCTGAACTCCACTAAACAAAGAGAATTGATTGTCCGGGAACAATTTAGTAATAATTTGCTTCACGAGAGTTGTTGCCGTTTGAAAATCGCTTTTTCCGGTCCATCATAGAATTTATGCGTGTATGTATGCAACTGGTTTGCCATAGCTTTGAATTCATCTTGACAGAAGAGGTTTTCCAAGGGCAAACAGATTCAGAGGCCAATTCTGAAAAATGACACCCCTCCCTCCACTTCTCCTGTCCTTTTCCGGTGAAATACTAATCAATTATGCAACTATTAAACTAATCTTATGGAAAAATGATTGAATTCCACTAGTGATCGCCCGTCTGTCATCGTTTTTTCGGCACACAAACGGCCCCATCAATCATGGCCCACTGAATCATATGCTTTGATGGGCGACGTGTAGTTGAGTGCATTATCTGGCTAAACTGCTTTTGAAGCACAAATAGCTCTGGAATTTGACTGGAAATACGGTAACCGTCTCTTTATGAAAGCATTATATGCATTAAAAAGTACTGTACAGTAATCAGTATGCCACTCATCTTGGAATGTCCTCTATCAGTCACGAACTTGTCACAATGATGGTCGACGTTAATTCATTAAGAAATACCAATGTCAACCTTCTTGTGACGGACGAGTTTTCTTGGGCATGTTGCCCATCATTAAGTGTGGACTTCGGAAAAATTCTTTGCGATCCAAGTACATGGCATATAAACTTCCATGGTACGCTCTTGATTAAAACTGTTTTTTTCTAACAACCCGTACATGTATAAACTACTTGTAATGGCCAGGAAAAACTTGATGACAAGTGTCCCCAGAGGTTATGAGTTCGAAGTATGTCGGAGCTGGACGTTGAGGTTGTAAGAGGTACAAACTCTGGATCTTGTGTACGGATCCGATAATTTTCGTCCATACCAATCGATACCGTACACGATTTTTGGACATTGGCGTCGATGATTTAGATGTGTGCCTGCGTGTATTCAATTCTGCAAATTATACCTTTCCTGGCTGGCTTAATGGTATCTTGGGTGGTCGTGCTTCGTTGGAACGAAATCACCCATCACATGATGTGCTGCTGTCAAGCCTGGAGCCAGGTTCACCTGAATAGCTTAAATTGTTCGCGGAAATGTCCTCTCTCTAAACGCGACCATTACAGCTACAGCCATTCTTTGTGAGCTTCAAGCCACTAGTCTCCTTAAATGCCTCACCAGCATTTATGCCCCTACTTTTCTTCAGCATCTGTCAGGTCTATGCGTATCGCTCTCTCCATACTACTACTCACTTTAGATTATCGTATTCACATTACTGCTTAATCATCGGACATGGGCCAGACCAACTAACTCGAGTAAATTACTGCCAACACGATGTGGCATGACTATCATGTATAAATAGACGAGTTCTCGGATACTACTTACTTAAAAATATCTTCATAAATCCCCATAATGGGGGCTATTAACTGACCGGACCCGATCATTGCAAAGACGTTGCCGACTCAGTCCGCATGCCAAGCATGAATGTTTCATGTTAGCTGTTTCCAGCGTAGCCCCCCAATCATCCTAACACATTAGTGTCCGCTTGATCAGTCAGTCGACGATAGAGCTCTTCCGTTAGTCATTTTTCTTTACATGTCTCTGTAATTGTCTACTATTCGAAATTTGGTCGATTTTCTTATAAGGGTGAAACGGAATTTTCGGGGCACAGTGGCTGGCACATGAAATATTTTCCGAGAACGAAATATGGCTCTCTTCTCTGACGCCAGTCACCCTCTCACACAGTTTATTCTCAAGCTGTGCAAGGTCGTTAGGGAGTTTCACTCGATCTCTCTTTCAGTTTCTTAGCACCATCATCAGTTAAGATAGCAGTAACGACTCGCGTCATAGCAGCCACCATAAAGTCTCCCTCCGGTCTTTTGATGTTCTTCCCCATTTGGCTATGTGATCTATTGTATTCTGAATATTTTTGCTTCCATGGAACCCCCCGAATACAGCCAGCCGGCCGGGCTATTCGTTAGCTGGGATTCGAGCAAAGCCACTGATGAGCTGTGTGTTCCATGTTCCACACGCTGAGCGCATTTACGATTATGGTGTCAGTTCCGACGACACCGGTAACTGGCAGGCTGCTCAGATTTCTTTGTTTTGTTTCTGGTGGCGCACTTTCGTCGCCTGCGCGCTCATCTGACACCGTCGTCAGTATGAGCTCATGAGCGTATTGTCGTGAACGTCGCCAATATGATTTTAGTGCGTCGTGAATTGAATTTTCAACCTCAAACTGCCAGTCTGTTGTTGTTAGCCAGTGGCTCCGATTGTAACGGTGTATGTGCCGGTGATACGTCGGTCGGTTTCTTCTTGGTGGCCGTACTCAACCGCATTCATCTTCGTTTTTTCATTCCATTGCCATGGCTATGCCATGGTAGCACACTTCCCCCTGACTTCGGTCCTAATTCAGCCTTCCTTCAGAATTCAGACATTCTTCAACTTGGTTTTTTCATAAGCTTCGGCCCATCCGTCGCTTCAGCACAACCGGTCTGAAGACTTACAAACACCACCCATTCTTCGACTTTTCAGAACCCTGCTTGCACCCTTGCGCCTTCAGTGGGGCCTAGTTTCAGCATGATCAGCCAGGGCTGTTTCAACTACTGCTGTAATGAGGAACAAACTCACTGGCCCTGGAGGGCGCAGCACCAACTATTGCTAACTACTGACTGGCTCGTACGCAATAGTTGGTGCTGAGGTCTAGGAGCCAACCCTACCGGCTCTTCTAAATTCTTATGAATCGGGAATTTGTTGTTTTGTCGGCCTAGTTAGTAGGCAATGAATTGATTGCATTAGGTTGACGCCCCATATCCATCTATAGGTAGGGTAGAGCGTCAGCGGACAAGAATAATAAATGAGACTCATCAAGGGTTGGACCTGAGTAATAAGTGGGTTGTCCCCCGCGTGTTTACATGGGTAACTTGACATAATTCTAGCAGGTTCGACTGCCATTACTCGAGCGTTCACCTATTTGGTACCCAGACATTGTTCGCTTCGACATTCAGCACTTCTTTGTCCGCCATCATATCTTAGCTTTTCCGCCACTGCTGAATCTACTCCGGATCCGCCAAGATACTACAGACCACATTATATACTGACTTATAGTCTATTTTTAAGTTTTCCGTGCATAGTTGGGCGTATACGTTACGGACTTCCGTAGTCGACGTCGCCACATTTCCTACTGCCATTGTCCGCCATTGCGTTGCACCCTTATGCTGTGGCGCTCATGGTGGTGCCGTCTGAAGCTGAAAGTCCGTTTCTTTCTTTGATGATCGACCATTGTGAATAGTGCTATTCGGAAGTGCTAAAATGCTCGGCATTGAATCGCTGCAATCAGGCGCTCAACCAGCGTGCTGATCGCAGCCGATGTGTTGCCGCGTATGTTCTTCTACAGGCCGCGTAAGCGGCATGTGCCGCCGCGGATGATCTACTCGCAAGCGTTCCGTAACGAGCAGTTCAGTCCAGCGGTTGCACTATTCTCAGCGGCTGGACTTATTCGTACCACCGCTGGTATTCATGAAGAGGAACGTGCTGCCGCCTCTACTAAAAAGCATCCTCCTACAACCTCAGCCGCTACAAGTAAGTTCATTTCTCCATGTTTCGTCGCTACGTAGTTTACAAAGGCTTAATTACCAGTAATGACTAGTACAAAGCCCAATACAATCATCCTAAGAACTTGTAAGCCTTACGAAATCTATCGATCCTTCATGTGCCTTCCTTCAAGTAACTTGACCATAATGGAGCCTTGCCGAATGCCCTAATCTGAGCTCCGAAGATTAATGGGAGTGCAGAGAAAGGCAAGGTAGATAGCCTGGAAGCGAGAAGGGAACAATGACAAGTAGATTAATCAAAATTTCCAAAAATGGAAAACGAAAATCCAACTGGCAGCTAGCTGGTCATATGCCTTTAAGTCTTGGGATTATAGCGCTGTGGACTTCTGAAATTGCGGGCACTTGTAAATAACCCACATCCATTATGACAGCTTTTCCATGATTTATCTCCCAGAACAGTTCTTTACTGCATAGTAGTTATGTCTTACTGTATATCGGTGATATATGTATTCCTTGAAGATCTGTAGGAACTCATTCAGTTGAGGCCGAACAAGATGTAGTGGCTGTGTGCAATATTATCTAGCAATGAATGATCTATGCTAATATATCCCAAGCTGGGCCGAATAACAAGTAATGAATAAATAGGAGTAACAAGTAGTGGATAAATTTTAGTGAAGTATAGAATGGAGAAATTCGAAAACTCTGTTGGGGAGGCCTTACAGTATCCTATATTGAAATTTCACATATTTTTCAACATTTAGCTCGTTATGAAGCTAAGGGACAGCACAGTCCTGAGATAACACCGTTTACAATCTTAATAATATATGTATATCACTAATTCATGAGCAAATATGTTATTCCTACAAATGAAATATAAATATTGGCATACACTCATTTTTATCTCGGCCTATACGTGTGCATTGTGGAAGGGATAAGAACGTTGTTTGAAAACTTACTTACCACTTACTCATATCTACCCACTCTACTCAAATTTACTAGTTTTCAAAGGAAGTAAAAACAACAATATCTTAAAGTATGACTTTTTTCACAACGAAATTCTTCACAGGAGCATGATTTCTCTGACGTTTGACATGCTAGCCCTGCTTTAGGCCCATGTTGGCTCTTATGCAGTTACTTTTCGTTCCAACTGCCTACCCTCTCCCCCAAGCGCCCCAACTGATGATCGATGTAGGGCACAAATATGACAAGGGGTCCTCTTGATGATCAGAGCAAGTCGAGATTCTCGAGTAATACAGACCATTTTGACGTTCCAGTAGTCAGACGGGTTAACCAGTAATGGCAAGCAGAACATTCTGAAAGCGTACCCTTCAGAGTACAGTTAAATAAATATGAATAGAGCTCGGGTAATTTGGCCAACATCCCCGAGGGCTTATTGAAGTCTGATCGATTGTCAGGCTTTATAGCATTTTTTACAAGCCATTCGGCTCTTTCCTTCGCACATTAATTCATGTCCTTAGCCAAAGCACTTGTACTTTATTACTGTACAATAAAGCGAAGTTTTTAAGCAGTGCTGTCTAACAGGAGCAGTTACACAGCTTTACCAACTTTTACTTGCTAAGGAAGAGTTGTCTGGTACGAATAGGCTCAATCTAGTTCGTTAAGTGCACGGCTAAACTGTTTTTTCTTTTGGTTACAGCTACGCAGTAAATGGTGGATATTACCTTATTACCAAGTTAATAGTTGGTATAAGTATGTGCTATTGAGCCGCGTTCAATGTGTTGTCCTCGGTTTTATGCGGGTTTTATGGTTGAGCCCAATGCCACTCGTCGTCCATGAGGTGCCAGTCTGTTTAGCGAGGCTATCGAACTGAGGTGGTAACCCGCCGTGCTTCAACTTCTTCTCTGTCGACTTTGGTATTACTTCTTTTCCCTTCAGAATCATCCCTATACCAGTAATCCCTTCATTAGATTTGTATGCGTGACTACTGGATTCAGCCGCTGTCCAACAAAAGCCGATAACTGCAACATCAGGCAATTCTGCCGACCTCCCACATATCACCGCTCGTCGCCACACTCTTTCCCTTCTCTGTCTCCATTCTTCACTCATTGACACCTGTCAACAACATCAAAGTGGCGAATTTACAAGTTCATGCTGGATATCATGCATTCACAATGTTCATTGGACCACCGAGTCTAGCATGTCATGATTTCACCGCGACATTTGGACGTATTCCAACTGATCGCACAGTGTGAAGGTTCGTTTTGGTCCATTCTTCTGACATGTCTAGCTCTCTTTCCCTAAAATTTCGGGTTCAAAGCAGCTTTGAGGCCGTTGTAGGTTTCGTGATTTTCAGCAGATAACCCAAACTAATACTTATAGCTGATCACTTCCATGTATGGCTTTCTATGAACCTCGGCATAATTGTATCATTGAGTTTACTGTTTTCTTGAGCTCTTCACGAGGTTTTTAAGTGTACTATAAATAAATTTTTAGCCTAATAAAGCATACTTAAAAACCTCGTAGAGAGTTCAAGAAAACAGTAAATTCGCTGGTCACTTCGTTATTTCTCCATGTTTCTTCTGAATAACCCCTGATGGAAAACGATTAGGAAAGCTTCTTTTCATCCATACTCATAATCTATTGCCAGCCAAAGGTATATTTAGATATTAAGATTTCCTGCAGCAAAAAATACTGCTTCCATCGCTAAGTAAAGGAACCATTACTTTCACGTTTGATAATAGCAGGAGGGGAGACGGACCGTAGGATTGGATTTGTGTAATAGTTTCGCCGCGCGCGGCAGTCGTGG